CACACACACACACACACACACACACACACACACACACACACACACACACACACACACACACATCTGTTTTTAAGAACTATCTTTTCGGCTCCTCTGAAATGATTTGACAAAGAGTGGATTTGCTCGTCCCACTTGATCTTCAGGTTTATGATATTTTCTTGTGTTTGTTGCACCAAATCTGCCAGTTCACAATCTGAAAATTGAATCAAAAATACACTTTGAGAAAGAGTTTTGGCTTTCTTAGTTGCTCAGGAAACACGTTCCTTCATGATCTGCATTTGACCCCATAAGAAAGCTTAGAAAAGCCCTACTCAAATCTTGTTCACGTCTTTAAAAAGAAAAAGCTCTCACTTCCTCTTACACCCTCTGTCCTGCCCTTCACTGAGTCCTGCTGGCCCAGTTAAATGTGTGGTCATGTGAAAGTACACAGATGTACACACAGAGAAAAAAGGCCAGGATTCTTTTTTTAGCTGAAGTCAGCAAAATGTATCTGCTTTCATTCTTCTTCTGCTTTTTTTTTATTTATTTATTTATTTATTTATTTATTTATTTATAACCAATGCAGCAGATTAGTCTTTTGGAAAAACAGCAACTTACAACAAATTTGTATTTTGGTAACAATGAAGGTGACAGATGGCACCAACGTGGTGATGAAGAACCAGACTTCAGCTGATATCACAGTCGACCAGTTTGTTCTGCAGCTTCATCAGAAACCATTTTTATGAACTTCCACTGCAGCACAGATCCATCGCTCAGGATCGTTACATAAAACATAAGCCGTTTCTGATAACGGAGATGCTTTCCAGCTCCCCAGCAATCCAACTAGTGTCATTATTACACCACTCTGCACCGTCAAAGCCCACAGAAATGACCCATCAGGACAATCTGACTTGACTGCTGGTGCACGATTGCACTTGATGGTTGTGCAAAACGGGCAGGTTGGATGAAGAATGTTGTCATGCGAGTTTTTCAACATTCATAGACGTCAAAATGAATAAACAGTTGGAGTTCTCAGGAGGACTCCATCTGTTACACAGCAGCAAAGAAAGATACGAGTCTTCAAACAATGAAATAGAAACAGCTTCAAAACGTCATTTCTGTGTCTCAGTTCAGTTTTTAATCTTGTTATTTGTTTCTTTTGTTTATTCGCTTTCTGTCCAAGTTTTTCTTCTTACCCTGCTTATATAATTGTAAAAGTTTGTGCCTCATATATRGTATAAATATCAGTGGATCATTGTTATTTAAATTATTACCAACATGAACGTTTCATCAGAAAAAAAAAGGTCATTAGCCTATTTATTTATTCGTTCTGCAAATCATCACATCACCAATCCAATGCAGGATGAAAGGAGCTTAGGCCTACAATTAAATACCAAATTAACTAGGAACAAATATTACTCATCTGTAAAAGGAAAGTTTAATTTAGAAAAAGGATGCACTATATGAAATGACCAAGAACTTTGAAATGGTTTGTTGGCTGTTTTGAGATATATTCTGTGGTAATCTCACAGAAACAAAACTCTTAAGTCTGTTACATCATAGTTTTTTGTGGGGTATTGTTTATTTGGGTAATTAAAATATACACAGAAAGTAAAGAAATTAGGTTATTTGTTTGTTGTAACAATGTTATCAAGGTTTGTACATAAAAGTACCCAGAAATAGGCTCAACTGACAAAGAGGAGGAGAACACAACAGAAGTAAAGGTTAAATGTATTTAATGACTGAATCAGATTTATAGTGAAGCTAAGTATCACCGAGGAGGCTGACTTGGAGAGGAGTTTCCAGGATTGTAGAGTTGCAGGTTCGGGTAGTCGTGAAGGAGAGTGGCACGACAGAGTGGTAAGTGGACTGGTTTGGCTGTTAGTGTTTTCAGGATTGGTGGTTAGCAGAGGAGATCCAGGTAAACACCAGCACAGGTGGAGAGATCCAGGAAGTCCACAGAGAGTCATTAAACCCAAAGATAAGTTCAGGTTAGGGCAGGCTTTTCTCAGTGGCTGTAGGTCCCAGGCTCCAGCGAGGACTGGATCTCATCAATAACCTTAAATACTTCCAAACCTCATCAGAGGAAGCAGGTGCAGAAGGTCCACGCCAGTCAGAGCTGTGAGGGAGAGGGTGAGAGGCAAACAACACATTTCTACAGCTTCTTGGCAATAAATCACAYAGGCACCTGACTGGCAGCATGGGGGTACCAGAAGCTCAAAACAAGTGTAAATATAACAACAAAATAAGCTGTTTGGCAGAGATTTGGCAAACTTTTCACATCCACAACTCTGTTTTACAGCTCATCCTATGTTCCTTTCAAATGTGGCTCCATTTCAAAGATAAATTAACAGGCTTTCCAACAAAATCGCCAATAAGAAGCATTGTTACAACAGAGAAACAACCCATTTCCTTACTTTTGTGTGAAGTTTAGATGTAAAATTTCAAAAGATTCATCACTTTTGTTCACTTTAAACATCAAGTTTTTTTACTCACTTATTAGTTCAGTGCATTTTAAAATGTAACTGATGCTCTTTRAACTTTCTAATAATCTTGCACATATTTTCTCCTCTTTCTTATGTATAGTCTCGCCTCAAAGTGCTTTGTGCATGTTTTTCCAACCAGGGATGACACAGGTTCAGTCATTCTCCATCCTTAAACCTCTCCTTGCCTCTGCGTCTGGACGCGRAGTTGCGGTGCGCGCAGCCGCGTGCCGCAACGTTTGCGCGTCTCTTTCGGAGCGCGAGTGAAAGCCCGCCGGGTCGTCTCCGCACATTTCAGCAGAGAGGGAGAGGGAGAGACGGAGTGCGCGAGCGGTTGTGGAAGAGAGATGTCTTCATGGATTTGTGAGCTGCTTCTGGCTGTGCGGGACTTTATTGTTCGAACACAATCAGCCATGATGGACCGAAACATCTGAGGTTCTCATMGAGGTAAGACAGATGCTTTATTCACCTGCTGCCATAACATATTCTGAATTCTCATAGCTTCTACTTCCTGTCCTTCTATTTAAGTCATTATGTTAGAAAACTGTTACAAACTAAAACTGGCTGACTGGAAAAACAACATTTGACTGCATGAGTCCATATGATATTATACATATATATTTCAACAAATTAAGCTACATTTTRGTGAATGTATTATTTTTGGTGGCACCGAGAGACGGAATAAATGTCCAAACTGTTAAAGATGGTTTTTTTTCCTTGACTGATATCTTCTTTAAGAGCTCATCCGTTCTTGCTGCGTCTTTACGCACAGCAGGAGCAGAGTCAAAGCTGAAGTTTGTGTCAKCAGGTAAACTGGGGCTCAGAATGGACTCCGACAGTTTTGTTCAACACGCTGATCGAGACCTGGAGGTCACCTTGATCCCGTTTTCTGTCACCTCCGACTGGATGGAGGATGGAAACGAGACGAGCWGGAACCAGTTCCAGCAACCCGACTGGCAGGTGAGACAGAGCGAATTAATGAGAGATGAATGAGTTCATTTTTGTAAGTTGAGGTATTTCTGAATGTTTATTATTATTGCAAAAATGTTTTTACCACGTCTGTGTGTGCGTCTGTTCCTGTGTCCGTTATCAACATACAGCGGGTAAAATAAGTATTGAACACGTCACCATTTTTCTCAGTAGCTATATTACTAGTGCTAATGACTTGAAATTTTCACCAGATGTTGGTAACAACCCAAGTGATCCATACATACAAAGAAATCAAACCATAAATGTCCAGAAATGAAGTTATTTGTAATAATGTGGAATGGCACAGGGAAAAAGTATTGAACACATGAAGAAAGGGAGGTGTAAAAAGACATGGAAAGCCAAGACACCAGCTGAACTCTCTCAGTAATTAGAAAGCAAGCCTGCCCCTTGTCAGTGCAARTTAATATCAGCTGGTTCAGTCCCAAATGATGGCCAGGTATCACACAAGAACCATCTGATGATGGGTAAAAGTAAAGAGCTCTCTCAAGACCTTCACAACCTTATTGTTGCAAAGCATAATGATGGCATCGGTTACAGAAGAATGTCTAAACTTCTGAAGGTTCCAGTGAGCACTGTTGGGACCATAATTCAGAAGTGGAAAGAACATTATTTCACCATAAACCGACCACMAYCAGGTGCTCCTCACAAGATTTCTGACAGAGGAGTGAAAAGAATTATCAGAAGAGTTGTCCAAGAGCCAAGGACCACTTGTGGAGAGCTTCAGAAAGACCTGGAATTAGCAGGTACGTTTGTTTCAAAGAAAACAATAAGTAATGCACTGAACCGCCATGGCCTGTATGCACGCTCACCACACAAGACTCCACTGCTGAAGAAACAGCATGTTGAAGCTCCTTTAAAGTTTGCTGCACAACATTTAAACAAGCCTGTGTAATACTGGGAGAATATAGTCTGGTCAGATGAAACCAACACTGAACTGTTTGGATGCCAGAATACACATCATGTTTGGAGGTCAAACGGCACTGCACATCAGCCCAAAAACACCATACCAACAGTGAAGTTTGGAGGTGGGAACATCATGGTGTGGGGCTGTTTTTCAGCATATGGTACTGGCAAACTTCAAATAATTGAAGGAAGGATGAGTGGAAAAATGTACAGAGACATTCTTGATAAAAAATCTGCTTCCATCTACCAGGATGATGAAGATGAAACGTGGCTGGACATTTCAGCAAGACAATGAGCCCAAACACAAAGTCAAGGAAACTCTCAGTTGGTTTCAGAGAAAGAAACTAAAGCTGCTGGAATGGCCCAGCCAATCACCTGACCTGAATCCAACAGAAAATCTATGGAAAGAACTAAAGATCAGAGTTCATAGAAGAGGTCCACGAAACCTTCAAGATTTGAAGACTGTTTGTGGAAGAATGGGCCAAAATCACACCTGAGCAATGCATGCCACTAGTTTCTCCATACAGGAGGCATCTTGAAGCTGTCATTGACAACAAAGGCTTTTGTACAAAGTATTAGATAAATTTCAGGAAGTGTGTTCAATACTTTTCCCTGTGCCATTCCACATTATTACAAATAACTTCATTTCTGGACATTTATGTTTGATTTCTTTGTATATATGGATCACTTGGGTTGTTACCGACATCTGGTGAAAATTTCATGTCATTAGCACCTCTAGTAATATATTTACTGGGAAAAATGGTGACGTGTTCAATACTTATTTTACCTGCTGTATCTCCTGAAAGACTGAACAAACTTAAATGAAACTRTCAGAAAGTAATCACATGGTGTACATCTACAACTGATTAACTTTGGGAGTCACCACRATTCAMCATTGTCTGCCTCAGCTAACTCATATTAAAAAGCACAAAATTGTGCTAATTAAGTCAGTTTTGCAGATGCTACACTAAATTTAGGTGTGGTCATAGCTGAGACTGAACTCCAACACATAATATGAGAATGAACCGATTGTTCAAGATCTTTGATTAAAAATTTGGCATTAACTTATTCGAGTCAACTCAATGTGTCTGTTAGCAAAATATTTCATGAACCACTGAGCGGATTTTAATCAAACTTTCAGGAAATAATCGCTGGAAATGCATCTATAACAGYTACAAGGCCAGCCCAATTCAAGATGCTGTCACAGCCAACTGACTTAAGTATGCACAAAAAGTGCTACAATTCATTCTATTCTATTGATATTGTACTAAGATTTGCTGAAARTAATTCACAACACATAGCCTACTCTAATGCTACACTGTGCACATGACATTTGCTTAAAACTTTAATAYTAACTGCTGGTATCAGTCCTGTCTGTTATCAAAATATTTCACAAACCATTTGATTGATTTTAACGAAACTTTCAGAAAATAATAAAAGAGATATAGAGGTACAACTGATCATGATTTGGAGTTATTCAATCATTGTAACAGATACTGAACTAAAACTGGAAGTAGCAGGAGCAAAACACATACTCAGAGTGTGATATAATGCTGTTTTAGTGGTTTGGACTTAATCTAAAACTCTTTAGTTTTTGTTTTTGTTTGTTTTTTCCTGTATTCAATATGTTTTAGTTGACTTGGTTTGCTCCTCTGGTTTCTCTAAACCCCACAGCTGCATTTCATCCACCCATCACCTCCCCTGCTCCTCTTCCACTCCCTCTCTCTCTGTTTTAAACAACTCATTGTTTCTTGTCCCTCTTGTCTGATGCTACTGTTTGCCAGCTCCATGCTGTTCCTCCACCGTGTCTCTACAGTTCATTCCTCCATGTGCTGCTGTTGGTTTTTGTTATATTAGTTGTCATTCAGCTCTTCCTCAGTGTCTACAGATTGGATCTCCTTTCAAATCCATTAAAATTGTCGGATTAAGATAAAAATGAGAATTGAATCTTGCACACTATCTGTGACCTTAAAGCTTTGAATAATTGATAAAGAAAAATGCACAGACTGTTAAGAGATGTAAAAACATTTTACATGTTTAATGTCTGAGCTGTTTGCTTACTGAACCCTCTCCTGTCAGGTGGCTCTCTGGGCCATCGCCTACTCCCTCATCATCCTGGTGTCCATCACCGGGAACGTCACGGTGATCTGGATCATCCTGGCTCACAGACGYATGAGGACCGTAACCAACTATTTCATCGTCAACCTGGCCTTTTCTGACGTATCCATGGCATCCTTTAACACCCTTTTTAACTTTGTCTACGCACTTCACAACGACTGGTACTTTGGTCTGGGTTACTGCAGATTTCAGAACTTCTTTCCCATCACGGCCATGTTTTCATCCATTTACTCCATGGCTGCCATAGCAGTGGACAGGTAAGACAGCTCAGACTGTTGTTTGTCGACTAAAAATGTTTCTCTAAGTAAAGATGATGCTCTTGCAAAGACAGCTAAACTCTATTTAAGATCTTCTTTTATTATGTTTAATTATGTTTATCATAAAGTTGTGAATTGACTTTGATTAGAGAGGACAACAAAATGTGAAGCTAATTAAAAACTCACCAAGCTCATGCAAACTGTGATGTTTATATTCTAATTGGCTATAATTATGATGTATGAATGCATGTGAGCTCATGTTAATGAGGGTAATACATTCAGAAATTCAYTTAATGCTGTGTGTTTGGTCTTGGATGATGTGCACAACTTTTAGAATATTTTGCATTTATGTGTGAAACTATTTTTACGAAGCTTGCAGGATTTCTTGCCAGATCAATTTTAACCCCTTTGTGGAATTAATTTACTTACAAAACCTTAGCAGCGTGATTAAAAATACAACTCWGCAGCATTTGTTCCTCCTTGCACACATGAAGGAAACATGGGTCAACACACACAGATGCTATGAACGCTCACTGCAGCATGAACGTTCAATGTGTAATTAATCTCTGCTGAGTGTACTCTGTGCACTTCGTTACAAGTTTACATTAACTGTCTTGTCTAATCTACCATCCCTGGATTACAGTTTGCACTGATGAGATTGTGTTTGTTCAGTGGCTGTGGAAGCAACAGCATGAATACATATTTCCTGCAATCATATAGATACAGCAATATGAGACCTTCTGATACACAGGTCTTCTTTTTTGTTTTATTTATTTGTTGTTTTTTTTATTGGAAAAGCATGGCCACTACCCAGTTTATTAAAACGTATCMTTGTCATAAATTTATATTTAAAAAATATTATGCATATCACCCCCTGACACCCTGCATCATATAGAGTCCCAGGTGAAAAAATATTATACTAAGTATACTAAATCTAAGTATACTTGAAGCTGCATTAAT